GCACGACACTAACAGCGGCGGGGCCACGACCAACCGAAGCCTACAGCAGGACCGAGAGAGTCATTCGTGCTAAGGCTGAGGTTCGCCTAACAAGCATTGTTGAAGGCAAATTTTCCCTCTCAAGAAAAGTCGGGGGTCTCCGATTACTAGGCTCTGACAAAGCTTCTGGAGTCTGCTTACTCACCGTCGATGAAAGTTGTTTGGCTTTGAAAATTGAAAACTTCCCCTCTTCTGGACTAATGGGGCTTTCGAAGCCCTCCCAAGCTTCCAGGGCCTCCCACGCAGGTTTCATGGCTTCTGGAGCTTCTACAGACTTTTGCGAGGGCATCCTTTCCGAGCTTCCAAAGGAACCCGAAAATCCAGAAAAGAGACACTTGTCTAACCATCGATTTCAATATACTGTCGGAGTTTCGCCAAGGGGGGTCTCCGAATACTGCTTTGCCTTGAAAATTCAAAAAAACGACGGCCCCTTACCAAAACGAGGCTGTGAAAAGGTCGCGGGGCGGGTGGCCCTTCAGTATTGCGGCTTTCCATCGATTTCAATACTAAAAAATTGTGTGTCCAGGCCAATCCTCCCCATTTGGGGCTCATTCGGGCCTTCCTGTCAGGGGCTTTGAGGGGGAGGGCCGGGGTTGGCCAGGGAAAAGGTTTTGGGTTTAGGGTCTGGGCTTTGGGGTTTTTAGGGTTCAGGGGAGAAGGGCTTTAGGGCGTTTAGGATTTTAGGGTTTAGGCGAACATGAGTGACGAGCCTTGACCCCCTCCAAACCCCACGCTCCCCCACATGAGATAGCTCTAAGCTAGGCTGTTACATGTTTTATAAGTCTTTTTGTGAAACGTCTGCTTTAAGCCTAAAACCCCCCCAAGCCGTCAACCCTGAACCCCATAAAACCCCACAGCCTCAGCCTCCGAGCAATAAGTCCTAAACCCTAAAGCCTCTGTGCCACAGACCCTAAACCCCCTTATGGCCCCAAACCCCGAACGACCTTAACCTCCAAACCCAAAAAGTCTGACACCCGCAAACCCTCAAACCCTCAGCCTCAACCCTTAACCCTAAACCCTGAACCCCAAAACCCGAAACCCTAAACCCTAAACCCTAAACCCTAAACCCATCGCTTTGGGAGGATGGGCGGCTGCCACTTGCTCTGCGCTACGAGGGCGGCCCCAGCCTCGACGGGGGCGGAGGGAGGAGGGTTTCGGGCTTGAGGGTTGGTGTTTACTATTTGCTTAAGAACCCCCCAAAAAATGATTCAAAAAAATCAAGAATCACTATATTACCCAGATAAGGAAAAAGCAGTTTTTTTTTTTTTAATTTTTGTTGGGGTTCTGAAGCAATTGGTAGAATAAGGTTCAGGGTTTTGGGCCTGCTTTGGGGCTATTTTGTATCTGCCCCTGTTGGGTTTCAGGGAGCCTTCTGAAAAATTCTGAGTTTCAGATGGCTTTAAAGGGCCAACCAAATGTCTTGCGTAGCCAGCTTGGTCAGTAGTTGAACTATAAACGTTTCGGTTGGAAGAATAAAGTTTTAACCTTGTCATTCCTTGGTACCCTAAACCCTACCTAGTGCGTAAACCCTGTGATTGGGCTGGGTTAATGCTTAAGGTCGCGGCTTCGGGCACTTCGGGAACGAGTCCAGGGATCCACTCCTCCTGAAACAGCTGTAACAGGAGCCACGAGGGTTTTTTGTGCGGGGGCGGCTCTCGGTGCGTAGTTGCGTTTCCGTGTTTTTTTGGCGGTTTCAAGGTAGTTGGGGTGGATGCTTTAGGGGACGGTGCGTTGTGGTCAACAGCCCCTGAACCCCAACCTTCCTCCGGCACCGTCAGCAGGCTCCAACTACGTCAACTTCGCGGGTTTGTTCGATACCCTCTGAACACTTCAAAACATCCCTAAGCTCGGCCCGAACCTGAAGTATTTTAAACCTCCCAGTCCGACGCCATTTAAAGGAAAACCTGGTGGCGGCCGGCAGGCCTACCGTAAAACACCCTGATTCCCTCAACACCCTAGAACACCCTAAAACACCCTAGAAACCCTGAACCCTAAGCACCCTGGAAAACCAAAAAAGAAGCCCAGACACCTTTAAGAACAGGAATTAAATCCTGTAAGCAGAACAAAAAAACTTTACACAACGTAAACACCTTTGAAACCCAAAAGAAATGGACCCTCAACTCCCTCCTCAAAGCCCTAAACTTTCCTCGACCCTAAACCCCTAACCACCTAAACCCTAAACCCTGAACCAAACCTCTGAACCCTAAACCCTAAACCCTCAACCCTCATTCGCCCTCCGAGCCCCGAAAAACGACCAAAAGGCCGGGCCTCGCGGATGCCGTCGCCACTGAGGCCAGGAACTCTTTGGGGTTCAGGGTTAATTATAGGCTTTAGGGTTTAGGGTTGAGGGTTTTAGGGTCTAGGGTTGAGGGTTTATTGCTTCAAGAACCCCCCAAACGAAGAATACATAATATTCTTCGTTGCAAGGGTAATGTGGGGATGATCTAGGGGGTTCTAGGGCATTAGGGTTTAGGGTTTCTAGGAGGGTTTAGGGTGTTTAGGGTTGAGGGAGTTTAGGGGGTTTAGGGGTTCAGGTCTTCTATGGGGTTTAGGGGGTTTGCAGGGTTTTATAGGGGTTTAGGGGGTTAGGGTCTAGGTGGTTTAGAGGTTCTTAGGGGTCTAGGGTTTAGGGTTTCTAGGGGTTTAGGGTGTTTGGGGTTAGGGAGTTTAGGGGTTTAAGGGGGTTAGGGCTTCTAGGGTGTAAGGAGGATGTTACCCTTTTATGGCTTCTAGGGCTGTTAGGGTGTTTAAGGATTTGGGCTTTGGCATCGGGCTTCAGGGCCTCAGGGTTTACAATGTTTAGGGTTTCCGGTGCCCAGCAAGGGGCTCTCGTTTCCAAAAACCGCTCAGCTTCGCCCATCAAGGGAACATCTCCCTACTAAACCCAAAAAGAAGAAGGAATGGTAGGGGGCCAAGTAAAATAGACTTGGAAGTTTATGGCAACGATTGTCGTTTTTTGGCCGGGGTTAAGGGAAGAATGCTGGCAATTCCTTAGGCGTTCGAATCCTGGCTAAAGCAGCAAGGGCATGCGTCGGGGAGCGTGCTCCGTCGCAAGGGTTGGTGTTTCGCAAGTCTTGCGAGGCTCGCTCCATACATGGAGCTCTTCCATGCGAGCCGTTCGCTCAGAAATCAAGAGGCAGCAGGGGAATCAAGGGAGGGCCGACTGCTCCGTCTGGCAGCGGTGAAGTACGAACCCAGGGTCCTGCCAAAAGCGCTGTGCTAGGATTCAGCTCCAGCGGGACGGTAGCATCTACGCAGCCATTGCATGTTACCGCGCGGCTTGCCCTAGAATCCTAGAAGCGTTTCGCACTGTCTGAAAATAGTCGCTGCCAAGGCCGGTACTCCATGAAGCTCCTGCAACAGTGAACGGCCTGTTCAGGCTATTCCCAACCACCTTCCTGTTTCACTCATGGCTCACCGGATCAGGCGAAAAGAAGCGGCTGCTTCCATACTGGCCACCCGGCCGAAGATTTTAAAACAGCTTCCAACCTTGAATCCTGGATTCTGAAAGCGCATTCTGTGGAATAGGAGCCATCAACAGAAAGCTCTCGACCCCTCGACGACCTCCAGTTCCCCCGCAAAGCCCTCAACCATTCCGGCCTGAATTGCCCTAGACACCAGGGCTGCAAGGTGAGTCTTCTTCCTTCCCAAACCCCTTTGGCCTCGACCCACTGGCCCCCCAGGGCAGTCCAGAGTTTAAACCCCTCTTAAACGAAACCCCTCCAAACCTCAGAACGGAGGCCTTTGAATTCCTAGGTGGTTGGACGGCCTCCCCCGTAAAACTACATAATATCACCCCCGCCCTGATTGCTTCTTCCCCCGCGGGTATCACGTCCTTGGAGGAGAGGATATAGAGAACACCGAACCTAAACCACAAATCCCAAGCCCTAAACCCTTAACAGGGAATATCTATAGAACCCCTAAACACCAAACCCCTTCAATTCGATGTTGCTTTTTTCTTCGTCCAATTTCTTTCGTCCGAAGTGTCCGCAGACTGCGTGCACAAACACAAAACCCAGCATCCCAAGCCTAAACCCTAAACGCTCAACCCGGAACATATGTATATATGTATATACATATATTTATATATATATATATATATATATATAGATATACATATATTTATATTTATACACACACTGAAGACCAGACCCTAAAAACCTCAAATACCAAGCCCTAAGCCCCGAAGTCACCCAGCAGGCAGTCGCTGCGTCCTCTGCTCTTTCGGCTCGTTTCGTGCGCCTCCTCGCAGGCAAGGTGAGCTGCCAGCGCCTCACCTTGAAACAGCGAACCCGAAACTTTAAACCCGAAACCCTAAACCCTAAACCCTAGCCCTAAATCCAAAACCCAAAACCTTTGTCTGCTACCCAAGAACAAGACTGCAAAAGTTTGAGTTCTACGTCTTTGCCGCCGTGGTTCGGGATGAGGAACCACTCACCAGAGATTCTTCTCCCACCCCTGCCTCCCCCACCTTCAGGGAGAACTTATTTTTCTCGCATATTCGAAACCCCCCTCCCACCCACCCCCCACCCTCTAAGATTCACTCCCCATACCACAGAACATTGCATGCGCAAGGGGCAGGGGTGAGGGGCTGAGGGCTTGATTTGGAATAGCCTGAAGGGACTTGCTACGGCTGGTTCGCAGGTGCGGGGGTTTGCCATCCTTCACCCTAATTCCTAAACTGCTTGAACTCTAAACCCCCTACATTCTAAACCCCTTGAACCCTAAATCCCCTAAACCCCGGGTTACTTGAACCCCAACAGTTGCTGATCCAGGGGGTGGGGTTCTGAGGGGCTTCTGGGGATTGCAGGGCTTTGGGGGGTTTTAGGGTTCCATGGTTTCAGGGCTTTTTAGGGTTTTAGGGTTCTGTGACTTTGCGGTCTTTACGGCTTTTAGGGTTCTTTGGTTTTAGGCGTCTTAGGGTTTTTTTGGTTCTATGGTTTTACCATGAGTTTCCATGTTCTCCCCCTCTATACTACCCCCCCTAGGTTCCCCCGTTAAGTAACCTTGGGCTTAATACCCTTAAATGGCCTTAATTATGGGTAACCTAGGTGAGGGGGGGGGGGGGGGGGGGGTGCAGTGGGGGTAGTCTGGGAACCCATGGCTTTAGGGGTTGTTCAGGGTTGTTGTCGGGGTTTGGGAGAAGTTGGGGCCCTGAGGGGACCCCTGAACCCTAAACCCTGAACCCTGAACCCTAAACCCTAAACCCTAAACCCTAAACCCTAAACCCTAAACCCTAAACCCTAAACCCCAAACCGACCTCACCGAGGCTCGTGGAGCCAGCCGGTGCAAGCGCAACCATGGGGGACTTTACCATCCGCACACGTGGCCCAACAGCACTTGAGAGGGCGGGGTTTAGGGTTTAGGGTTTAGGGTTTAGGGGCTTTGGGGGGCTCCCGGGGACCAGACAAGGACGACAAAAGCGTTCTCGGAGTTTTGGAAAACCTTTGACCCATGCCACCCCCGCCCCCCCCCCCCCCTCCAAAAACTGACGCTGTAGAGAGCTCTTGTCTTAGCATCCTTTTTGCCTTTCATGTAGGGCTTTGCAAGAATCAGGGACCCCTAAGATCGTAAACCCCCGATGTCGAGAGGCAAGTTCCAGACGAACCCACTCCTGGGCCGAAAGCAGTTCGTGGTGGATGCAGCTGGGCCCGAGTATGAGAGACCTGCGCAACAAGAGGGGGAGAACTCTGCTGATCCGATCTGTCCTCCTTTTTTGGGGGGGGGGGGGGGGTTTAGGGTTTAGGGTTTAGGTTTAGGGTTTAGGGTTTAGGGTTGAGGGTTTAGGGTTTAGGGGGGGGGGGGGGGGGGTTGGGGGGAAAGCCCCCTTACGGTATATTTCGCCTGAAGGTGATCCATCCCTCCATGGCGAACGTCTCCAAGGCGGATCTGTCCCAGAAGCTGGGGAAGATGTACAAGGCAGGGGCCGGGATGCCAGGCCATCGCTTTTCGGCCCCAGAAATCCGCCCCCCCCTGAAGTGAAAAGCAACATCCGGCCCCAAGTGATGTTTTGTGATGTTCCCCCTGATACGAACAGTCCTTGGTAGGCATGAGTTGAAGGGTGAACATCCCAACGTACTCGTAGAGGTGCACGACACCAAGTGCATACCCTAAACCCTAAACCCTAAACCCTAAACGAGGTGCACGACACCAAGTGCATCCAGCTCTTCAGCTTCAAGACTGCCTTTGGCGGCGGCCGCAGCACAGGAGCCTGGGGGGGGGTTGAGTCGGGTTCCCAGAGAGCCCAAGACCAAGGAAAAGACCGTAAACAACAAAGGTATCCTTGTTATACCTCAAATGATAAAGGGATCCTTATGATACCTTAAATGATAAAGGGATCCTTATGATACCTTAAGTGATAAAGGGATCCTTATGATACCTTAAGTGATAAAGGGATCCTTATTATACCTTAAGTGATAAAAGGATCCTTATTATACCTTAAGTGATAAAGGGATCCTTATTTTACCTTAAGTGATAAAGGGATCCTGAGTATGACTTAAGGAATTACTATTCCTTACTTAAGGGGTTTTGGGCTCCTTGGGTTCGGGACTTTTGAGAGCGTGCCATGGGACTTGGGGAAGCTTTGAGCTCTCATTGTTTGGGATGTTCCCCCCTTATACTAACAGTCCTTAAGGGATTACAAAAGGGGACTATAGTCCCTTGTAGGGAATGCTAGCATGAGGTGGAACATCCCAAACTCATTGTCGGGGCCTGGGCTCGCGGGCCACTATAGCGCAACGCAAGCCGACACGTTCGCGGGGGGGAGCGCCACGGGCCGGAGAAGAAGCAGTTGCGGCTTGGGGTTACAGCAGACCCTGACTTAGAAAACTGAGCACCCCCGCACCTGTTGCCCCAGGGTTCGGTCTGATCTACGAGAACCTGGCCACTCAGCTGCAATTTCCGCTGGCCTTGACGGCTTCGTAGGGCCTCACAGAGAGTGTTTGGCAGCTCGGGGATTTTGAGCGGCTCGACTTCCAATGCGTCAAGGGAAGCTCAAACCCAAACCCCCAACTTGAACCCCTCCCTCTCCCGTTGCAAGCAAGGATGGTGCCGGTCGCACGACTCTAACTCGTACCAGGTTACAATGCACAAGTTGTTTCAATGCAAGTTCTTTTGCGGTGGTTGCACATGCTGCATTGCAACCCAATCGCTTGGCAACGTACCCGGCTGGAAGGATGTTAAAGAGAGGGAGGCCCGCAATGTAGCCCTGGACCATCAACCTAAACCTAAGCCCTAAACCCGAACTCTAAAGCGAAAACCAAACCAAACCCTGAACATGCAGAAGCACAGTCCTCCCAGCTAAGGAGAAGCTGACTCCTGGTCCGCATAAGTCTCTCCGGGGGTGTAGAAAAGCGGGGACTGCTTGTGTCATCCGAGGCTTGCGAGTTATCAGGGTTTAGGGGTACCCGGCCAGTTAAAGAGATGTGGATGAGCAGAATTGCTGTGTTGAGGCTTCATGGGCGGGCAGCCAAGGGCCTAGAATGGAAAAAGGCCCAAATGGTTCTAAAGGCACATGGAGCCGCAAGCCTCTCCTGGGGAAAAACCCACACAAATCCCAACGCCCTGCTACAACCCAAGCCCGAAGCCTCCGAGCCCTACACCCCCCACCCGAAACCCTCCTAAACCCCAAACCCTAAAGTTGAGGTTTCATGGTGTATTGTTCAGAGTTTGAGGTTTAGGGTTTAGGGTTAAACCCTGCCCCCCAAGACCCGCCACCCTCAAACCCAAGCGGCGCCACAAGCTCCAGGAAGAAGTTCGAGCCCAAGTACCGCCTGAAGCGCGCTGGAGTGGGTGGAGACCTTTGGTGGCCAAAAGAGCAGATCTGTAAGTTAGGGTGTCGGTTTTTGGTTTCAGGGTGTAGGTTTTAGGTTTGGGTGAGCTCAAGTCTTACAGATTGAGGCTCCCATCTCTTGAATTCAAAGAAGGTTGTAACTTCGCACATGGGGCCTCGGAAAGTCGTGCCCTAAACCCTAAATACGCCCTAAACCCTGAATCCTCACGACAGTTTCCAATGTTCCCACCGTGGCGCCATCACTCAGGAGAAGACAGGAGCTGGACGACGAGGCCAGTTGTACATATATTGTATTTATTTTTCGTCTATTGTTATTTATGAATTTATTAATTTCTACATGCTCCATGTATCAATATAGTTCCGGATCCAAGATTCAGGAACCAAGATGTCTGGGAGAAACTCTGCTCGGTATCTTGAATCCCTGCTAAAACTCGGGCTCGCAGCTTAGCGTTGGGGAGTGGCAAGCTGAGTGGAGAATGGGATGCGGGCACCCAAACCGCGGACAAGTTACTCGAAGCCTGCCCTACACCCACCGAAATGCAGTGGGTAGCGAAACCATGCAGACAAACCTTGTGGAAGCCCGCCCTCCCACACTCGACCTGCAGACTCGTACCTTCAGTGGCGTGAGAAGAACTATATGGCACGTTCCAGAAGCACAAACCTTTCTACGGGTGGTGTTGAGCGCTTTGGAGGGAGATACGAAGGCTCGACCTCTAAGAAACGATGGCGGGGCGTTCCCCAAGCCCTCAACCCTAAATCCAGCTTAGGGCTCAGGTTCCTAAACCCTAAACCCTAAACGACCGAGATGCAGAGCCAGGAAAGAAGGACACCAAGAATCGAATGAAGAAGGCCCGTGGCAAGGACAAGTCGAAGGTGCTGGCCTAAGAAGCCCCCTCAAAGTAACAAAACGGGCAATGTTCCTGAGCTTAGGAATTGCGGTTTAGGGTTTAGGGCTTAGGGCTTAGGGCTTAGGGCTTAGGGCTTAGGGGGGTTTAGGTTTTAGGGTTTAGGGCCAGGGCTTAAAAGCTGGCGAGCTGTGGTTTTCAGGTCAAGGCTTCGGGCAAACGGCTCCTTGCCGAAGATGTCATTTGGGGCAGGGCTTAGGGTTCTTTTGTATTCCCACTGGCAGTGGCTTCTGGGTCGTCCTCTCTCGCACATGTTGGAATGAAGCACAGCTCAGGGAGCCACTTCCATGTGTTAGACGAAGCCTTATTGCGCGGTCACGAGCTTCCATGATGTTGAACCTGAATTTTGGGGTCGGAAGACTTTACTACTGGTATTTCCTGATGGTCCCGTTTTAGTACCAAAAGTTGAATTTGAAAATTATGTTACTTCGGACATCCCCAGCTTGACCCTCGTTGAAAACAAAGAACGCAACTAAGATGCTCAAACAAAGACACATTGATTCAAACACGCTTTCTTAGTATGTGCTTGCAACTGGGGTTGGGCACTCCAGGGACAGCACTCCAGGGACACTCTGGGGTTGGGCAATTCAGGGATACTCTGGGGTTGGGCACTCCAGGAACACTCTGGGGTTGGGCACTGGGCAAAAATCACAAACCTATTCCAAAAGGAAATGCCCCTGCATTAGATCCTGATGTTCTGCCCAGGCCGGAGCCAAGAAGTGAGGAAGGGCCTCGACGGCTGGCCGCGCGCAGGCAACCACCGAGCAAAAACACAAAGGCGCTTAGCAGAGCAGCGGCGAGTAGATTTAGGGTTTAGGGTTTTAGGGTTTAGGGTGTTTAGGGGGTTTAGGGATTAGGGTTCGCTGCTTTGCGGATATTTGCTTAAGAACCCCGACAAAAATCCCTATCTTGCCCTAGTAGGGAAGAATGTGTTGATGTTTGGGTGGTTCTTTCAAATTGTAGTAGATGGTCCATGCAGTTGGTGTTCGAACGTTCCGCGAGCGTTCCTCAGTCAAAGCGTTCACTTGAAGGTTGTTCCATATTCGGGTCCGTTCCCTGCCTCATAGCATCCCCTAAACCCTAAACCCTAAACCCTAAACCCTAAACCCTAAACCCTAAACCCTAAACCCTAAACCCTAAACCCTAAAGGAAAACAGAAGTGTCCGATATTGGGGGGAGCTGCGGGTCTGCATGTTGGCTAAACCCTAAACCCTAAAGACCCAATTACAACACCCTTAAACACCCTAAAAACCTTAAAACACCCTGAAACCCTAAGAACCCTAAAACCTTAAAAACCCTAAAACTTTCAACAAAAAAACCTAGAACCCTAAACCCCCTACGCCCCAAAGGCTTGCCTTAAACCTCCCGTGGCTGCCCTTCTCAAGCGTTCTGCTTCGGGCGAGGCGCTCACTCGACACACTCAACCCACGGAAGTTCATCGGAGACCTAGTCGACTACTTGCTGAAGAACCACCCAACAAAAATTCGGGCTTTAGGGTTTAGGGTTTGGGGTTTAAGGTTTAGGGTTTAGGGTTTAGATCTTGCTAAAGATCATCAGTCCCTATCATGCCCCATTTAAGGAAGAATGTTCCGAAGCAGATAGGGGGGCGAACAGTAGTCTGACAGGCCGGCCTGTTCATGTCTGAGTCTTCCGGCCTACCCTAAGCTGCCAGACTACAGACCATGAACCAACTTGCACTTCGCACTCGAACGCCCAGGCATGCCATGATTCCCTGTTTTGGTAAAGTGTTCGGCTCCCTTCTAATAAAAAAGGGGTGCCCCCTTTTTATCGTAGATTTCTGAGGGACCAACTCGGGATCGTCTCCCGATAGTTCCCCATGGCGGCCCGTGTGGTGATCCCGCGGCTGCGGTCCATCAGCGCAGAGGTGGAGGCCCGGGAAGCTGAAGCTTTCGGGACCTTGTGTCTTTTGTTGTGTTTTTTTTTTTGCGGGGGCGGGGGGGGGGGGGGGGGGTCTCTTTTAAGGGTTGTATAAGTTATAGGAGATAGGGTTGGAAAGGTTACATGAGGGCTACATCAGGGGGTTACGCCAGGGCGATGCTTAGGGCTTGAGTGCCGTAGCGACGTTGACCTGTCTGGGAAGCTTGTGCTTCCGCAGTCTGAACGAAAAGCAGAACTAGGAAACTAGCATTGCTTCAAAGAGGCCCGGGCGGAAGCTGAAACCGGACTGAGAAATCCTAACCCTCAACCCCAACCCTAAACCCTAAACCCTAAGCCATCTTAAGCTCTAAACCCTAAACCACCCTAAACCCTAGCCCTGAACCCTAAACCACCCCAAGCTCTAAACCACCCAAACTCACAAGCCCTGACTTGGCTCAGGGTCAGGGCACCTTCATCAGCTCGGCCGCAGACTTACGCAAAGGGGGGAGCCAGGGGGGTAGTCAAGCCTGTGCGCTCAGGTTCTGATCTCCCCGAAGTGCGGTTTAGGGTGTAGGGTTTAGGGTTTCAGGGTTTAGAGTTGCCCAGTAGGGCTTAGCAAGACTTTTGCATGGTTGGGAGCCAAAGAAACCAATCCCGCCATTGGGTTGGGTTTGGGCACTTAGGGGGTTGGGGGCGGGGGGGGGTGGACGCACCAACGGCAAAAGCAAATTCGGCTCGATGCCTTTGGGTTGTGTGTCCCTTCGGCGTGCGGCGCCTGAAACTGAAGAAACTGGTGCTTTCACGAGGTCCTATAAGTTGAAGGTCGAAATCCAAAAAAAATGTGCCACTCAGCTCCCCTCTCAAACTCCAACGGTCTACTCGGACGCACAACGCCTGCTGCAAAGCTTTGAGGGTTACGGTCAACTTCCGGGCGCTTTGCGCAAAAACTGAGGATCAGGAGTCGGCGCGCAATGCTTTAGTCCCTTCTCAAATGACTCTAATGTTAAACCCCCCCCTACTCCCTACCCCCGAATATGAAATACTCCCAGTGCATCGCCAAGATTGCTGGGAAAACCCAACTTAGCACTTCTAGTGCTCAAGCGCAGTTGTTAGCGTTGAAGCGCCAGAAGCTGGGGTCTGGGATGTTCCCCTTATACGAACAGTCCTTAAGAGGCAGTATAGTACTCCCCCTACTATAATGCCCATTAAGGAGCTGTTAGTATAAGGGGGGGAACATCCCCCCCTAAACCCTAGACCCTAAACCCTAAACCCTAAACCCTAAACCCTGAACCCTGAACCCTAAACCCTAAACCCTAAACCCTAAACCCTAAGCTGAGGTCATTAACCTTGCAGCCTCGGCGATGGGTTGCGGCGTTCTCGCGCTGCCTCGGAGCTTCGCGATCTGCGGAGTGACGTTTTGGCTGCTTAGGGTTTAGGGTTTAGGGTTTAGGGTTTAGGGTTTAGGGTTTAGGGTTTAGGGTTTAGGGTTTAGGGTACCGTGGGGTCGGAGTAATTACTAATAGCATTCCCTTATGGTCCCTTTATAATTATACCATTAAAAACCCCCCGGAACCCTCTGGACCTTTGGTCACAGAAATATGATGCAATGCTTTTGCTGCTGCAGTCCATCTGCAGCAAGTTGTAGATCTGTTCAGTGCTCTGAGCTATTGCTGAGGATGCAGATGACATCTTCTTTAATTATTGACTTCGACAGGCTTTCGCCCGCATACCCCCGGAACCCTATTCTAACTACTGAGGCGCCTATGTTACTAGGGTTTGAGGTCCGGGTGCGAAATCTTGGCGTTTCTTTTTCAATGCGCCTATGAGGGAAGACGATATTGCCCGCACGGTCTCGAAACTTTCGTGGGTTCGTTTGCAGGGGGCCTTGCTTGCCTTGGGAGGCTTGAGTGCAGGTTGCCAACTCCCAGAATGTGTGACCACCCCAGGTAAGTCAACCCTAAACCCTAAACCAAGCTATACCCTCATTCCTGAACCTCTGAAACGTTTGAGGTGAGCACCAGACTCCGCATAGCCCCCATGAGGGTCAAGGGACCATACGATAATAAACCCTTTTTGGAGTTCATTCATGCCACAAGGTAGTGCCCAGCCGGGGGTCGAATAAGCTGTCATGACTTTCAACGCCCAGGAGATGGTCAATGGCCTTCCTCGTGATCTTCTCAATGTGCCCTGGCAAGTTTAGTAACATCAACTTCCAGAACCCGGAACCCTGAACCCTTTTTCTCCACCAATCAATTCCCTGGCCATGGCTGAAGATTGAAATCGGTTTAGGCCTTAGGGGTTTTTGGAAGCTTGCAAATGTAAGGTTCCCTGTAATTCGGGGAGGGCTGGGGGGGGGGGGGGGGGGCCATTCAGGTGCCGACTGTAGTACAGTTTTGCAGCCATCGATTTCGAATGCGCCAAAAATGCAGCCATCTATTTAGCATACCCGAAAGCAGAGAAACAACGCATAGAGCTGCCCTAAGTGCTTAGATGGCCCGTAATGCCTAAACCCTAAACCCTGAACCCGTCTCTGGAGGTGGGTCGAGATGTCGTTGCGTTGGCTCGTGGCATGCGGGCGCTTCAGCGGGAAGCGCGGTTTCAAGGACGCCCGGGGGTTTAGGGTTTAGAGTTTAGGGTTTAGAGTTTAGGGTTCAGGGTTCAGGGTTCAGGGTTCAGGGGCCCTCAACCCCAACAGTGCCTCCTCGGCGCCAAAACGACGCGCCCCGAAACCATTCCCAGCATGCCGACATGGCGCCCTTGTTTCGGGATCTTCTCGAGATCTTCGGGGGCACCGAGACCCTCAGCTAAGCCCAAACCCCCCCCAGAGTGTGGAGTTTTTGGGTCCAGGCCCTAGCATCAGCTTTGACTTCAGCTGCTGGCTTCAGGCCCCAAGATCTTTGAGAGGAGATTAGGTCGGAAGGCTCAGGGCTGAGTTGGTTTGAAGTTACCTTGGGATAACACTAACAACCTTAAACCCTTGTTTGCAAAAATGCAAGAAGCCCCATGGACCCTGCAGCCCTGAACCCCCCACCGCGCCCAGGAGAATGCGCAACATTTTCTGGGTACAGGAGCTGCCAAAGCAGTTCATTTTTGCCAGGCGCGTGCTAGGGTTGGGTTAAGGGCCCTGATGACACAGGCTCGCCATGTCCCCTTTTTAAACCCCCAAGGGCCTAAAGCTGAACACAAAACTCTAAGCCCTAAACCCTAAGCCTCAGCTTCATACCCCCCTGTACGGTTTAGGGTATGTAGGGTTGAGGGTCATTCTGAAACCCCAAAAAGGAATTCTGATTGAAACTATATTTGGAACCTTCAAGGAGTGAGGAGCTGGACTTGCTTCCCGGGGTTTAGGGTTTAGGGTTTAGGGTTTAGGGTTTAGGGTTTAGGGTGACCTAGCAAGCCCACCGCGCCCAGATTCTGCTGCTGTGCGGCGGCATTGTCACAGTTTTCGTCACTGCAGCCTCCCTCCTGGGCCGGGCATGCCAGTTGAGGGTTAGCAGTGGTGGTCTCGAGAAAACTTCGGCGCCTAGATGCTACTTCGGGTTTAGGGTTTATGGTTTAGGGCTCTTCCGGTCTGAATTTGAAAGTTGCGCGAGGGCTGCCTTAGTTCGCAGAGTCCAAAGTCAACTCAAAGCAGTGACCCTGAACTGCGAAACTCCCCGATGCCCGAGAGGCTGCAGCGCTCGCGAGATGTTGGCGAGCATTTGTACAGAGGACGCTTCGTGTAGGCTCCAAGTACAAGTGGCCGATCTGGAAAACTCTCTACATGTGCACTATGGGACCGCCGCATGTGGACTTTTGCTGTTGCAGTAGCTGACGAGTTCTGAGCACGGAATTAGAGAGTTGGGTGCCTCACATAGCCGAAAATACCCCTTCAAGTGATCTTTTCGGGACACTGATTTCCCTACTGGCAACTTGTAAGGTTTGCTGCAGCAGTAGCTTGGGTCAGAGGTGACAGGATCTGTCTCGGGAGCGCTGGGCGCTGAACCTGCCCCAAAATCGCTTACCCTAAACCCTAAACCCTAAACCCTAAACCCTAAACCCTAAACCCTAAACCTCTGAACACCTAAACCCAAGATCCAAACTCGCTTTGAAGCAACGGTACCCCAGGAGGACCCCCGTAGCGGCGCGCCCCTGCGCCGCCTCTGCCGGGCGCACCCCGCGCCGTGCTTCGCGGGCTGCAGCGGAGGGGAGAGGGTTTAGGATTTAGAGTTTAGGATTTAGGATTTAGAGTTTAGGATTTAGGGTTAGGAGATAAGGTTTAGGATTTAGGGTTTAGGGTTTGTTGCCCTACTTGAAGGTTTACGTGCAGGTTATAAGAAAGGTAACCTAACCTAGACTATTGCTGAATAAAGGTACTTAGAGACCCTACTTACAACCAGTAAAGTAGCCAACCCCAAAAAGGGTGCCCTTAGTGCAATATGGCTGCTGGGCTACCACGAATCGGTTTTGTTAGTTTAAGCGTTTGACTTATGAGTTCTTGGTAGGGAAAGAGGGAATCACGTACCTTATATCCCACCATATCGCCCATGAACTGGGATTCTATAAGGATAACATATATAAAGTAGCAACCCGAAACCCAAGCCCTACGTTGCCCTTGTAAGTTGAAGTGCCCGAAAGGCTCCCCATGGGCTCTTCTTGCTAGTAGAGTAGGTAGCCTTTGTTGGGGCCCTAAACCCTAAACCCTAAACCCCTAACCCTAAACCCTAAACCCTAAGTAACGTACTCCCCCGAGGGACACTGGACGAAGTCTTCTCCTTGCATAGGTGTCCGAGCTGAGAGGGCCCTTGTCCGTGCGTTTTTTGGCATTTCGAGGGGGCTGAGGGTTTTGTTTCCTCAAACCTTCTCTTCAAAAAATGTCTGTCTTATTGTTGCTTTTTGCATATACAAAACACTGCTTTCATGACTGTTTCCAAGAGAAGTATAGTTGTTGTCGGTGTGTACAAAACCCAAAAATTGCAGAAAGCACTGTTTTCATTGCGGCTTCCGAGGAAAGTATAGCTTTTGTAGGTGTGTCATGAGTCCCGGCCTTGCACTAGTTGCCCTAAACCCTAAACCCTAAACCCTAAACCCTAAACCCTAAACCCTAAACCCTAAACCCTAAACCCTCCCGTCATAACCTGTGGCTGGCCCATCACCCACGTCTTCGGCTGGGCTTGCTCGAGCTTCAAGACCCGACGTCCTTCTTCGAACAGGATTCCCAAACCCTAAATACCCTAAATACCCCAAATACCCCAAATACCCTAAATGCCCTAAATACCCTAAGTACCCTACATACCCTAAATACCCTAAATATACCCTAAATATACCCTAAACCCTAATTTCAAGCAGCCCCAAGAAACATAACGCCTGCCTGAGGCATGCCCAAGGAGCGGGTTCTGCTTCTCATCTCGCTGGCCGTATTTCCCCTGGCTTGCCAAAAAAGCGCGGAGCTGAGCTTTGCCGTAACCCTAAGCCTTGGGATGGTTTAGGGTTTAGGATATTCCCCTTATACTAACAGTCCTTACTAGGGATTATAGTACCCTCTACTATAATCCCTATTTAAGGACTGTTAGTATAAGGGGAACCCCAACCTAAACCCAAAAAACCCTAAGAAGGTGCATTCTGACTTCTACGCTTGGAAGTCCTTGCCCTGTGCTGAGGTTTACACTCTTTGACGTGCATATCGATGCTTAGCTTCCTGTGCCTTGAGCTTGAAGATGAGGGTTTACGGTTTTAGGGTTTAGGGTTTAGGGTTTAGGATTAGGGCTTCGGCTTGTGGAGGAGTTTTGACTTGATTTAACCAGAGAGCATGGGTTTTGCGGGGAGTCAGTGTCTCGCAGAGTCACGTGGGAGGTTCCCGAAACCCTAAACCCTAAACCCTGAGCCCTAAACCCTAAACCCTAAGTTGACGTCCGTTTTTGGGCTCCCCTTATGATACAGAGTCGGAGAAGAATACCCCACTTAGGCCTCACAGCACCGACCCTGAAGCACTTGTGCTTCTCAGGTGTTTGTCGTACTTCTTTGTCGTCCTGCCACTCGGCTGTTTCGGGCTTAAATTCCAATTAAACCCTTAGAACCTTAAACCCTCAAACCCCAACTTTTCGGTTTGGGTTCTCCGCGTCGGGGCAGCGGCAAAGACTGCCAGATTTAGGGGTTGGGTTTTAAGATTGAGGGTTGGCATCAGCAGGAATCTTCCAGATTGTGGTATCGAAATGTCCCCACGACTGCTATGGGCCTTGCAGAATGTGCGCCGTTCTCTACACGACGGCCCAAAGGCCTCGCATGATAATCACAGGTTCCCGGGGCGGGGGGGGGTCCTAGGGAACCTACATAGGCAGGCTTCGAGCAGCTAAACCCCAGACCCACCACACGCAGGATTTGGCGACTGACGTCACAGGCGCCTTGGTTGTGCTATGATTCATGGGTTTAGGTTTTAGGGTTTAGGGTTGGTCTTGAGAGGGCGTGAGCCGCTTTGAGGAGGGCCAACCTGGGTTGGCAAAAGCAATAGTGGCAAGAGAGTATCAGCCACACTAGTACTAGTAGCAAGAGTCTTCAAATAGAATCAAGAAAAGTGATAGCAAATCATCATCATCATCATCATCATCATCATAGACAGAACCAGCTTTCGGAGGAGTTTAAGGGTTTGTAGATGTTTCGGGCACAGGCCGATTCAAAAAGGGCGGAGGCCGGCGTGCCGAGTAGGCTGATGCACTGGGCCTCCGGCATCAGATTCTCTGCATGTGCCTCTCGACTTGCGAGACGAAGTTGCTCGAACTCCAGGAGTTGAAAGTGTAGGGTTTAGGGTTTAGGATTCAGGGTTTAGGATTCCGGCCACCTTCGTGTCAACAGCACCATCAGACCCTCAACCGCTCTAAGCGTGAGGATGTTTCGAAGTGCCAAAGCCTAGAAAGGGGCCTCCACATGGACTCAGGCCTCGGGCGTCCCAAGTCCTGGCGTCTTGTTACGAAAGCTTAAACCAGGTTACCAGCAGAGGATTGTATAGCAGCTGCTCTATACTATTAGCATCTGTGCTTTCTTGGGGGCCCTAAAACCCCAAACCCTCAAACCGTGCAAGATAGAAGTCAAGCTCCTGAATCAAGCGCCCCAAAAAAAATCTTCTGAAAAGCCAAAGCGCCTCGAGGCGCTGTTTGGTGTTGCCACTCCCTGGCCTGAGCCCATCGCGCAGGCGCACGAGGGAGCCCCCAAAAGCTGTCGGTTCCTTTGGGTTCTTTCGGCCTTTTACTTTTTGGAAGGTAGATTTTTCCCCATTTCTGTGTGGAAGACAAGGAAATCTGCATGGTTTTCCTAGTTTTGTGTTAAAAGTGGGGGGGTATGGAAGGAAGCCCTCATAGGCTGCAGGGTCCTACGCTGTAGAGGACGAAGATGCAAGGGCCCGGAATTTCGAGTCAGCTCGATGCTGTCACCCCAAACTCCCAGGTGGATTCAAACCTCTTCTGGCAGGGCCCTCCTGTGCTGCGCCTCGGCCGCAAGATGGGGGGTTTCCGAAATGAGGGGGTACCTTACTGGGGTCCTTCTTCTAAGGGATTCCTAGTATTTGAGTATTAGGGATCCCTTAGTGTCGTAAACCCCCAGATCCGAAGCCTACGACCTTCTTGTGCTTGCACCGCATGTCTACATCACAGACAAAGCGTGCAGTCCCACATATTCGATGTGACGTCTCCTGTAGCGTGACCTGCCTTTGAACAGCACGGCATTGCAGAGTATGCTATAGCATGATGTTGCTTGCACATTGGCTGCTGCATGCTCAACATTGCAACATTGTAAAGCGGCACCTGTGTGCACGCGACACACCCGGCAGCCATTCATGGCTTGCGCCCAACTGAGGTTAATGTCACTGCTGTGCCATACGACCATGATGCAGGCGCTCAATTTGCTTCTCAAGTCGCTCAATTTGCCCCCTTGGTTTCGGGTTTAGGGTTTTAAGAGAAGCTCAGACACATTTGTTGTGCCCAGCTGGACACCGAGCTCTCGGGCGACGCCAAGCCCAAGGCTGGGCGATTTCACATTCAGAAGCCCATGTGGCCAGAGAGCATCTCTACACCAAGGGGAAGTCCTGAAGAGGAAGCTCCAGAAGAGCCCCCAGAAGCCCCGAACCCAAGCCACGGAGCTGTTCGCCGGTTTGATTCGCTGCTTCTGCCTGCTATACTTGGACGTTCAGGGCACTTATTCACCGACTACTAACTGTACTTGGAACCCAATAATACCCGAACCCAAGAATGACCATATGGTTATAGGTACACTCATATTTGCTTAAAAAGTACCTTGAACCTTATGACCCAATTTTTACCAGATGGTTATAAGTACAGTTCCAATCGGTTCATGAGTACCATGAACCTCCAAGCAGAGCCTCTGCCCAGCGAGGCCGGTGCCGTGATCCGCCTAGTGGTCCTGGGCTTGTCCATGCGCCTTGCCCAGAGTCGCAAAAGCGAAAGGAGGGGGGGGGAGGGGGGGGGGGGGGGGAGGGGGGGGGAGGGGGGGGAGGGGGGGGGGGGAGGGGGGGGGGAGGGGGGGGAGGGGGGGGGAGGGGGGAGGGGGGGGAGGGGGGGGGGAGGGGGGGGGAAGCCCAACCCTAAACACTACGACCCTAATACCCAAAACCCTGACACCCTAAACACTCAACCCTAGAGCCTAAACCCTAATTGGGACCGGGTGGGGGGGGGGGGGGGTTTGGGTTCCCTTGGTGGGCTCCCTGGTGGTTTGCCTTGCTGCTGAGACCCCCCAAAGCTGCGCGAAAGGAACCGGGGAGGTTTAGGGTTTAGGGTTTAGGGTTTAGCAGTTTCTTAGGGGCCCAGAAGGTTTGCTTTTCTTGGTAGCCCAGTGGTACATTTGGTTCTAGTTCCCTCACTTGGCAGAGACGCCACACCAGCTGCCCAAGAGATGCCCTGAGAGCCCTAAGTGAACACTCAGGCCATGCACATCCCCCCCAAACCGCACTAGACCCTGAGCAGAAGCCCTGAACTCAGCACTTTCCCAAAACAAGACCTGACCAACCCTAAACCCTAAACCCTTCAGATTGTTTTCAGCATTGAGGGTCCCAGACGAGGCCCTGCTACGCCCTCGTCGGCGTGGGAGGCCTCTACCTCCATGGAAGTGGGGTGTCCTCCAACGTCCTTGAGGTCCACCCGCGACTTTTGCGGTTTTACGAAAATCCAATATAGGTAGGACTCCCTTATCATGAGGACCCTCATACAGTACCCCTACCTTCGGAAACCCCCCCATCCATTTCAGAAGTACAGAGGGAGGTTCGAGCTTTTGTCGAGGTGAGAGAAGTCGCGGTAATCCCGCCCACCGAGTATTCTCCTGCTTGGCTCAACCCCTAAACCCTAAACACCAAACCCTAAAACCCTAAACCCTAAACCCTTCGAGCTCAGTGTCAGCACCCCGGCTTTCCGCGGCTTGCGCGCTTGCGGGGACACAGGACTTCGTCCTGGACCCTTGGATGGCCTTTGCGCGCCTCACGCTCGGGCTGATGCCACTCAACCTGGATGAGGGTTTCGGGTTGAGGGTTTGGGATTTAGGGGGGCGCGCAGGCGCTGTGTTTTGGGCTTTCAAGCTCTCGCTCTCGGCATCCACAGCCGTGGCGTGAGTTTTCCTCGATCCCTGGCATATCTCTTCATGCTATAATCACATGCTGCCAACCCTAAACCCTACAGGAAACCCGCGTGTGTAGATTTCAGGAACGTTGCCAAACTGGCGACGGCGGTCATCACGCTCCGAGAGGCCAGGCAAGGGCTGAAGCGCCTGGAAAAGCACGATTCAACCTGGCTGGAGAGACTTTAAGGGTTTAGGGCTTAGGCTCAGGGTCTTTAGCTACTGACACTCTTCGTATGCATGCGATATTAGTTGCTACTACTGCTACTTCGATGACCAACAATAGCTACAATTGTCACGATTGTCATGCGAATATTAGGGTTGCCTCTGTTCCTTCAGAGAATATTATGGCTACTGCCAATACTATCTACCACCTCTCAGTATCACAAGAGTACTGGAAACGTGCACTGTGCAGGCGCTTTTAACCCGGTTAGTCTCCTACTATCCATACTGCTACTCTTGTTACCCTAGACCCTAAACCCTAAACCTCACTTTTCCTGTGCTAGGCGCTGGCCGCCAGTTTGGGTGCCAGGTGGCGACGTCCGTGCCTCAATTGGTGGAACGACTTGTGGCACTGCAGTGGAGCACCACTTCCTGGCCATGGTAGTATCCGACTGAAACCCGTAGTTCATCCTTTCCCCCTAAATCTTCAAATGCCCGTTGAGGAGGCTTCACGTCTAACCCCTGAGCTCTAAGACCCAAGTGCCCTAAACCAGAAAGCCTAAGGCCCCAATCTAAGGTTGGAACCATGGGCCCTCAGTGGGGTCCCTTACCCTTGTTTATAGGGATGGGCCCTTGTTATGTATAATAGACTACAAAAGGGTTATACAACAAGGGATGCCTCAACCCTAAACCCTAAGGCACAAACCCTAAACCCTAAACCCTAAACCCTAAACCCTAAACCCTAAACCCTAAACCCTAAACCCTAAACCCTAAACCCTAAACCCTAAACCCTAAACCCTGACCTGCAACCCAGCCGAGGCTTTCTGCGTGGCAGCCCTGGTCGCGCCGTCTCCGCGGCCGCCGCGTTGGCGGGCGGAGCGGTGGCCGCCCAGGCACAGAAGCATAGGTTTACGGTTTAGGGTTTAGGGTTCAGGGTTTAGGGTTTAGGGTTTAGGGTTTGGGGCCTCTTGAGGGTATTAGGGTTCGGCACCACATGCATCGCTCTCTGCCAGGCTCTGGGCTCCCTCTCCAAGGTGCTGTCCCTGCTGCCCGGCCTCAGAGGGCCCCTTATGGGGGTTTAGGGTTTAGGGTTTAGGGTTTAGGGTTTAGGGTTTAGGGTTTAGGGTTTAGGGCTCCGTCTTACTCTACAGGAACCCAACAAAAGGACCCTCCCCCCTTATTGAGGCAACTCCCCCCACCCCGCCCTTCATAGGAACTTGCAGGTTCATGGGTAGTTACAAGTAGGGTAAGCAGAATCATAAATATACTTGCCATACTTGTCACCCTACATAGAGCCCCACTTCGAGAACTTTTGCCTTACTTTTCAGTAGAAACAGTACTCTAAGTGAGGTGATAAGTATAATTGCCCCTTTATGCCCCTATAATAATATTACGAACGAAGCGTGCTTTTATTACCTTCGTTCGTACTATTATTAAGGGGGTACACGGGCCAGTTCATAGACTCATTCTTGGGGACGTACCAAAAGCTCTAAATTTAGTATATTTTATGGGGGTTTTGTAAGTGAACGAAGTGAGTGCACGAAAACCCCTATAAAAGCGCGCCCCAAGTATCCCTAAACCCTAGACCCTAAACCGTGAACCCTACTTATGACTGTCCATATGAGACTCCGAAAAACAACTTTCCTGACTCTCAGGCTGGGTTGCACACTGGGCGTGCTCTTCAGCCTCTGCCTCCCGGCAGCGCTCTACGCCTCGCTGCCGGGGAGCCCAGCGGGTCTTTGCGGTCGGCCGGGTCGATGGGTGGGTGTAGGGTTCAGGGTTCAGGGGTTTAGGGTTTAGTTTAGGGTTTAGGGTTTGGGCTTTGGGGTTTAGGGTTTAGGGGTTAGGGGTTAGGGGTTTAGGGTTTAGGGTTTAGGGTTTAGGGTTTAGGTTGTAAGTGGTGTCGGGGGCTCTTTCTTGCTGCAGGCTTGGGCAGTTTAGGGCCTGGTTCATTTTGAAAAAGCGGGGTGTCACAAGGCAGTGTTGCAAAGACTTGGGGTGCTGCGCTTCTTGCAATACGCGAATGGTTTGAGGCTGTCTCTGCCAGAAGGCAACGACAGAGACTTGACCCTAAACCCTAAACCCTAAACCCTAAACCCTAAACCCTAAACCCTAAACCCTAAACCCTAAACCCTAAACCCTAAACCCTAAACCCATGCCTTGGGCGAGAAGCCAGGATTTGCACACGCATCCTTCTGAAAGCGAATCGTCCGGGCAAACCTGCTTCTTCATCTTGTATGCTCCAGTAGTTACCAGCATTGCTGTCATAGCTACTGACACTACAATTAGAATTGCTTTGAGAATTCCAGAATCCGTTTGTTCAATCTTCTTCGTCTTCTTACTCTTAAAGCGCGCCTTGGCTTCAGCTGCCCCCAAGGCTCCGCGACGTGGCTGCTTCGAGGCAGCACAAGAAGAGGTGGGTGGTGACTCGGGGGGGGGGGGGGGGGGGGGGGGGGGGGCGGAGTTGAAAAATGCACAGCCAGGAGTTTAGGGTTCAGGGTTCAGGCTGGGGGGAGGAGGCACATATTCTAGGTCCAGCGCATGTGGAGGAGTCGTTCTTTCATTTCGAACACTCGAAAAGGCTACCGGAGAGTGTCAGGCCCCTCAAACCCGCCGACCTCCCTTGGGTCCAAAGCCCTGAGGCCCTTCTAAGGGCAGTTACAGGGCCCCTTGGTGTGGTCCCTTACCTTCTCTAAAGGGTTCTGAAGTATGGGCCCTTGGGCTGCCATGGGGTATATCAGGGGTAAATGAGGACCCCAAGGGCACATGCCTCAGGGAACATGTAACCATCCCAAAAAGAGCCCTGAACCCCCTAAACCCTAAACCACTTTTCCAAGCCCCCAGAAAGCAGGGACCTCGAGGCACCACTGCTGCCTCAGCCAGAGCCGGTCTTGGGGGCTTCTTGGCAGGGCAAGGGTTTAGGGTTTAGGGTTTAGGGTTTGGGGTTTGGGGTTTGGGGTTTAGGGTTTCGGGTTTAGGCAAGCAATAGAATTTGGAGCTCAGGGTTCTGGATGGTCCGTGAAAGGCAGAGGAAGGAATCAAGTCGTGGTTCGGGGGAGCGTGTTGTTTGTGTTTGGCCGCGCACGCCACTTCTCCAGCTTCCAGCATGGAAAAGCATGCCCGACCCCTTTTACGGGAGTGGGGGGAGGGGGATGGGATGAGCGCCAAGCGATCCCCATGGGCAACAAGGATATAGGGAAAGGCCTGTCGCAGAAGCCATGAGGCTGGATGCCGTTCCAAGCTTATAAACCCTGAACCCTAAACCCTTTCTGCACCCCGGTCCGGCACACCTCAGCTAGAAGCACACATCAAGTCTGGGACTTCGAGCAGGGTCGTCGAGCCATTACCAACATCAATGTAGAAGCATGGCACCTTCCGCTAAGTCCTCGGAACGAGGCCTGCTGAAAGAAATCCAACTGCAAGCGACTTAAGTTGGCTTTGGGGCTTCAGAGCCCTGAGGGGCCCACAACTGGAGATTCCCGACATGGACTTCAGTTTGGCTCAAGCCAGCGTCTCCTATCCTGACATCAGAGCTTCGTTGTTTGACCAGTCGCCTCAGTCCTGAGACCATGGTGGCTTTGGTAGCGCAACTTGGGTTCCTCGCCCTTCTCGTTCACGAAGCCCTCGCTGCGGCTCGCTTGCATATATATATATATATATATATATATGCCTACTTACTCTATATATATATATATACATATACATATTATACATAAATATACACATATAAGGGAGCTGTTGAGAGTTGGGGCATGTCGGGAGTCTGTAGCTTCGTTTGTTTCTGGGAGGTCCGCGAGGTCCGCGAGGCGATGAACGGCACTCTCTCCGGATGCAGAGAAGTGCGAGACTACCGCAGGTACCGACCAGACTATGGGGATGACAACCGGAAGTGCCCAAGTGCTTCCGTTTGGTGCGAATACACGGGATGGAAAGGGGGGCCGGAGCCTTACCGATCATGGTCCGAGTCTCGTTTCCAGCGCAGCACGGCAGACGACGGCGGCCGAGGCACTGGCACTACAGAATCTGTTCAGGTTGCACGAAGCCGCTTGGATTTGCTGGTCACACTGTTAGGCCCTGCATCCGTGGCTCAGTCGGTACCAGTGGTACCATTTAGCTGCAGCATCAGTAGCGCGGAGCCGAGGCCTACAACGGGCATACCAGATTGCTACTTGGCTGTTTCCGGACAGCATGTCACAAAGAGTCGGAAAGCAAGAGTTGTTTCTTCTTTACCGTGAATGGCTCTCGAGAACAGCGCAGGTTTCAGCGACTCCGCTCAAGTGGGACAAGATTGCGTCGCTGCCACAAACCATTGCATCTGCAAGAAGGCCGCTGTGGGATACACCTCTTGCGAAAAGGACGTACGGCACTTCACGGCCTACAAGCACCCCGGAAGCCGGTGGTACATATCTAACTGTATATATACATGTCTACAGACATATATGTGTATACTTATGTATATGTATGTGTGTATATATATATAGATAGATAGATAGGTAGGCATATATATATATATACATATACGTACATACATGTATATATATATATATATGTATTACACACGCGCGCGTGCATGTGTGTTTATACATCTTGATACATACACAAAGCTGCAGCCTCGACTTAGGAAGTGCTGCGGGACAGGGTTCGAAGACTGCCGACCTTGCTTGGACGAGAACCGAGACTGCTCAAGGAAACATTATGATCCATGCCTCCTCAACAAGGCTCAGTTTAGGGTTTAGGGTTTTTCTGGGCCTTCTTTCTTTCTGCCTCAAACCTTGTCTCACAGGTGGAACAGTATGGCGACTGATGACTGCGCCGAGCCTTGCGACAGCTCGGCGATGAGCCGTGTAGAGGGATGTGACGTCCCTGAAGAAATGTACGGTTTCTGCCCTCCATGTTCCTATCGCGACGCCGCCGCGGGCTGCGTACCTTTACGGCGCCAGAGACGAAAATGCAGCAGTTTGCCTTCGGCACTTAGCCCCCGATCACGACTGTTCCGTGTCGGCCCGACTGTGTCCTGCTCCTCGCCTCGCCACTCGCCATGCCGGGGCGCGAGAAAAGAGCTGAGAACTTCCCCTAAACTCTGGAGCTTCGGTGAAGTCGCGGGCTTGCAGGTCTGCTTCTGGTGCCAAAGAACACCATTATTATTATTATTATTATTATTATCATGGTTTTTATTAGTACTATTACTTTTACTGTTGAAACCGTTACCAACCTCAGGTGATCGCCCTGCCGAAGACGCCGTCAGACTGGCTTTGCCAGTGGCTGCCTGTCCAAAGCAGTATACATGCAACATTCTCATTTGACATAATCGGAACTTGGCAAATATACGCACATAAAGTACTGATAGATCCGGATGGTGGTCCAAACTCAACTCCTCAGACCCCCGAAACCTCTGCGTGTCTGATGATGTCTTCCAGACGCTTACAGGCATTGGGACTCCCGGCGCCCTGAACGAAAGTAGCGAAAGAGTAGTCCCAAGCTCCAAATCAGATCAAAGGCTCAATACCCCGCATCCTTTTTGGGTTTAGGGTTTAGGGTTTAGGGTTTAAAACCCTACATAAACCCTATACCCGTGAAACCCCACATCAACCCTAAAAGCCCTTGAGCCCTTTGAGCCCTTAGCTTGAGGCCCAAGCAGGGCATTTGCAAACTGAGGTGCAAGGCCCCCCTTCCACAGCAATTCAGAGGCCCTAAACCCGAAACCCGAAACCCTAAACCCTAACCCCCCCCCCCCCGCCCCCCGGCCTTCTCATCTGAGGCTCCTTTGCGCTGCCGTCTTTCTTGGCGGGCTGGCCCTGGGAGGTGTCCCACAATGCGTGGCTTTAGGGTTTAGCGTTTGGGTCTAGGGTTTAGGGTTCATATTTAGGGTTTAGGGTTAGCGGTTTGGGGTTTAGGGTGTAGGGGTTTAGGGTTTAGGTCAGGGATTCGGGGTTTAAGGATTTGGGGCGTGGGGAGTTCTTTGAGGCATTCACCAGGAGATGGGAACAAAATCGGGGCGCAAGAGATGTTTCAAAAGCCGGCCCTCGACCCTGGACCCGAACATCCGAATCAGCGTAAAATGGAAGCAGTTCGGGGTTAGGGTTTAGGGTTATAGGCTTAAACCTCCCAAAGCCTCATAAAACTACTTGTAGACCCCGTGAAACCTACCGAAAGCCCCAAATACCGTAAAAAATAGGATACTAATACAAATAATAAATAAAAAACTAAATAAGTAAATAAATATATAGAATACTCCCAGAAACAACCCAAAACCACCCAAAACCACCCAAAAAAGAATGCTAATACAAGTGCAAAGAATTAAAAACCCTAAACCCTAAACCCTAAACCCAAACCCCAAACCCCAAACCCCAAACCCCAAACCCTAAACCCTAAACCCTAAACCCTAAACCCTAAACCCTAAACCTGAAAGAAGGCCTGGGACTGGCCAGCTGGCTCCGGAGCTGATGATGAGAGTCCGAAAGGGGCGCGAGGGTAGGGGGGCGGGGGGGGGGGGTTGGGGTTTGGGGTTTAGGGTTTAGGGTTTAGGGTTTAGGGTTTAGGGTTTAGGGTCTAGGGTTTAGGGTTTAGGGTTTAGGGTTTAGGGTTTAGGGTTTAGGGTTTAGGGGTACTTGGAAGCCTTGTTGGCTTAGCAAGCAGGGTTATGGGGATTATGGTAGGGTTTCTAGGGAATACCAAGTAGACATACTAAGTCAACAGGGCTTCCAGATTTGGGGTTTATAGGGCCTCAGGGCTTTCGAGGGTGGTTAGGGATTCAGAGGGTTCAGGGTTGATGGGGTGTAGGACTTTGCAGGGTTTAGGGTTTAGAGGGCTTGGGGCTTACGGTTTCAGAGGGTTCAGGGTTTATGCATGGGATTTCGGTATTTCGATGCTTTAGGGTTGATAGGGCTTAGGGCTTCAGTGATTAGGGGGCGCAGGGTTGAATGTTGATAGGATTTAGAGTTTGGGTTCTTGTGTTTAGGGCTCATAGGGTCAGTTTTTTTTAGCGTTTAGGGTCAGAGGGTTTGGGTCACAACGGAAGACTAAAGCCCCACGGAACTGGCTTGCGTGCTGCAGACACTGCCCGGGCTCAGACGCAGCCAAGCGTTTAAAGCTAACAACCCATGAGAAAGAGGCTCCCCCACACCTGAGATCTG